TTTTTTTTTTTTTTTTTTTTTTTTTTTTTTTCATTGGTAACGTCGAACTTCAAAAAACAACAGGGTAGAAGGGAATTGCAGAGATGGTACGATGAAAAGTAAGTTGACGAAGTGGAAAACAGTGAAAGAACGGTTTAGCAGGACAAACAGTAGTTGATTCAAGGTAAGCAACTGCTAATAATAGTATCAACTATTAGGCGATATACAATTTTTGAAAAGATTATGCACCAATTATGGTTAATAAGCAAAACTTTTTTTTTTGCGTCATTGCTCAATTTTTGGTGGATTAACCGCTGCTGCTGTTATTGCTGATAGTGGCACTGATGATGATGACTACTGTCTTATCAACAGCTTTTATTCGCATTTGTATAAGCATCAGTAATTGATTAAAATAAACAATTTCTGTTGTCATTCAGGCTGCTTTGGCTAGTTCTTTAGAAAAATTCTGGTAATTAGACAGATAGTTCAAACTACAAAAAAGTTTCACTTTTGTTTTCACGACTTTCAAGTTTCAAATCAGTGTTTTGGTAACTGTTAGTGCGGAGAAATGTTGTTGTTAAAAAGTTTAGTGTTACTAATTTTGTACCACTTTTTTCCACAAATTTTTGCAACTTTTTTTCTCAAAATTTATTTCGTCACATCACTTTTTCACGTCATCTAGAATAACGCACTGTGTTGATTTTTCGGCATGTTTTTAGTCTATATTTTTAGAATTGGTAACACGTCATAGAGAAGAGAAAGAAGTAAAAAAAAAGAAAGAAAGTAGAATCAGATAAAACAAATCCTTTTCATTGACAACTGCTTTTTTCTTGCTTACTTTTTTCCTCATTTTTCTGTTTACTTTTTTGTTTTTTACTGTTTCTTAAAATTCAGTGTGCTGTTTAAAATGTTGTCTTTGGTATGAAAAGTGCGAAGAAAAAGTTTTAAGATATAAAAAATGCTCAATGTATGAAACAAAAATATTCTTTGGTTTCATTAATTTCTTCAATTTTTTCTTCACTCTTCACATTCCTCGACTCTTCTTTTCTGCTTTTTTCCTTTCCTTTCGCACTGATCAATACAAAATGTAATCTAATTTGTGTCTACTAAATACAGGTGACGTCGACTATGATGATGATGATGATGATGATGATGATGATGATGATGAGAACGATGATGATGATGATGTTGTTGTTGTTGTTATCGTTATTGCTGCTGGTCAAACTGGATACTATGAGCTGACAGTGCTCGAATATACAGCAAACATTATTACCCATAAGCATCAATTGATTTTTTTAGTTTGTGGTGATGGACAAGCGATAGAAGAACATCCCTTTTTTCTGCTCCTTCTCATTCGTCATGTTTATCCGCTTAGTTATCATCGTCATTATCGCCATCATTATTATTGTCAGAACAGTGCTGCTGTTACTACTACTGTTAAGCATCTTTCCATTTATCAGTACATTCATTTGCGCTAAACAGGTCGATTAACAAACAGCTTGCCTAAACTTTAATGAATACAGACAAAGGAAGATAAAAAAAGAAGAAAAGAAAAGAAAAAGAATTAAATAGTAGCATTGTGGTTGACCGTTAAGTCACAGTTGAATAAAGATGTGTTGTTTATTGGCTTGGTTAGTTGTTTGGATGGAAAGATGGATGCTTTCTAGAATATGGTCCGTTGTAAATTTGTTTTGATATAACTAGCCAAAGAATAACTTTATGTCACCAAATTTCGCTGTCATCTTCTTCCTTATTCTACCCTGATTTAGTAACTTTAAACAGAAAATTCAGGTTTCTGACAAGAAATAGTAGCTGAAAATTGTCGGGTGGAGGAGGGAGAAAAAAGTGAAAAACAGCAGAACAAAGATCAAATAGCAGTAAGCGCTTCTGGAGTCCGATACCCGGTTTAAGCAATCGTAAAAATGTTTCTTTTGCCAAAGTCAAGAGATGTAGGAAGGAAAGTTTTGGTTATTAGAGAAGATTAAAATAAATAAATAATATTTCTATTAAAAAAGGAAAGTTAAAAATTAAAATTAGAGCAATGTGACTTCTTTCTTCCAAATTTATAATATTTTTTCTGTTCGCTGCAAAACTCTTTCATAAAGTTTTTTTAACTATACTCGTTTGACGTTCTTTTTTCAGCTATTTTCTGTTTAAATATAAGAACGCTCTCATCTAACAAAAAA